TGCTTGTCTGGAAATTGTTTAATCCCTCCTTCATATTTAAATGATAATCGTGCTGGATACAGTATCCTTGGTTCAAGGCCCTTCTGTTTCATTGCATTAAATATATCATGCCATTCTCTTCTGGCCTGTAAGGTTTCTGTTGAGAAGTCTGATGATAGCCTGATGGGTTTACCTTTTAGGTGACCTTTTTTCTCTCTCTAGCTGCCTTTAATAGTCTGTCCTTGTCCTTGATCTTTGCCATTTTAATTATGTGTCTTGGTGTTGTCCTCCTTGGGTCCCTTCTGTTGGGAGTTCTGTGTGCTTCCGTGATCTGAGTCACTATTTCCTTCCCCAGTTTGGGGAAGTTTTCAGCATTTATTTCTTCAAATACACTTTCTATCCCTTTTTTTCTCTCTTCTTCTTCTGGTACCCCTATAATGCAGATATTGTTCTGTTTGGATTGGTCACACAGTTCTCTTAATCTTTCATTCCTGGAGATCCTTTTATCTCTCTCGGCATCAGCTTCTCTGCGTTCCTGTTCTCTCATTTCTATTCCATTAATGGCCTCTTGCATCTCGTCCATTCTGCTTTTAAGTCCTTCCAGAGATTGTTTTATTTCTGTATTCTCCCTCCCAACTTTATCCATTAGGTCTTGCATTTTTCTCTGCATCTCTATCAGCATGGTTATGACCTTTATTTTGAATTCTTTTTCAGGAAGATTGGTTAAATCTATCTTCCAGGTTCCCTCTCAGGCAATGTCTGGGATATTCTTGTCTGTATCAAATTCTTCTGTCTTTTCATGACAATAGAGGTAGTCGTAGGCAGTTGGCGTGTGTCATCTTGGAGAACAAAGTCCCTTATTGCTTGCCTGTTGCCTTCCCTGCCTGTGAGAACAGCGACCCCTAGTGGCTTTGTGCTGGGCAGCTGCGCGCCGACAGGGCCTCTTAGTGTGGCCCAGGCAGCTGCTGTGGGCGGCGTAGCTGCCCTCAGGCTACTGCCTCACTGTGGAGGGGCCACGCCGGAGGGGGAACGGGCGGGAGGCTGTTTATCGCCAAGAGGGGCCTCAGAGCTGCGGTGCCGCCCAGGTTGTTAGAGCACCCATAGTTCTCCGGGATTCCCAGCGGCTGGGCTAAGTGTGCCGAGGTGCTTCTGTCCAGCTGTGAGGCTTCTGTCCCTTTGAGACTTTCAAAAAACACTCTTTTGTCCCAGGGGCGCCAGCTGCAGGGACCCACTTGCAGGTTTTACTTTCTGTTTCCCTAGTATCCAGCACACCATGCACTGTGTGTCTGCGCTCCCGGTGTGGATGACTAGGGCTGGGTATTTAGTAGGCCTGGGTTCCCTTTCCCTTCCTGCTCTGACTCCTCTCCTCCTGCTGGGGAGCTGGGGTCGGGGGCGCTTGTGTCCTGCCGGGCCGCAGCTTGTATCTTACCCCCTTTGTGAGGCACTGGGTTCTCGCAGGTGTAGATGTAGCCTGGCTGTTGTACTGTATCTTCTGGTCTCTGTTTTAGGAATAGTTGTATTTGTTGTATTTTCAAAAATATATATGGTTTTGGGAGGAGATTTCCGCTGCCCTACTCACACTGCCATCTTGGCTCCTCTCCTTCCATGCCATGTTCTTTTACCTGGGGAAGATGCCTCTGTATTATTTTTTAGGGCCTCAGAGGCTGGCCTGGTTGAAAGTTAAAAGCTGAGACTCATTGATAGGATTATCATCTTTATCAAATTTTGAACGACACTCATTAGACCAATGCTTCCCTTTTCTACATTTTGGGCAAACAGATGGCAGTTTATTTTTGACATTTAACTCTTTTGCTCTCTTTTGTGATCTGCAGTCCCTTTTCATATGTCTTTGTTTACCACAGCCAAAACATTTCAGATTTCTTAAATTTCCCCTTGATCTTCCCTTCATAGCGGTTGCTAGTGAGTTAGCTTGATATGTAGGAGAACCCACATGAGCACAAGCCTTAATATAATCTTCCATTCCAGCTCCCACAGCTTTTAAGGGTTGAATAACTCTTTGGCATTCTGTATTAGCATTATCATAAGCTAGTATTTGCAACAACATTTCTCTTAAATCTGGATGGGCTATAGTCCTTCTCAAATTATCTTGTAATCTCACAATAAAGTCAACATATGGTTCATTAAGTCTCTGTTTAAGCTTACTGAACGGTAAAGTGGGCTTTCCAGCTGCTTGGATCTTTTCCCAAGCTTTCAGACAATATAGATGTACTTGTGTTACTGCTGTGTCCTCATACCCAGCTTGTCTCTCTAACTGCAGCCAATATCCTTGTCCTGTCAGTTTTTCAGCAGTTATAAGACCAGAGGATTGGCACACTGATTTCTCAAACTCAAAGCTTGTGCTTTTGCTTCCTTATATCACCATGCTTTGAATTGTCAAAATTCAGAAGAGATTAAATAGGTACTAGCTAATAAGTCCCAATCATGAGGAATCATCCTTTCTTGTTCCATTAACCCTCTCAAGAGACCCACAACTTATGGTGAATTAGTGCCATAAGCAGAAATGGCTTGTTTGAAATCTTTTAATGTCTTATAAGGATTAGGCATATAAAGTTCTCTGACTCCACCTTGTGGAAAATCGGCATCTTCACCTGGCTCAAAAGGGGTTAAGTTAACTGGTGCTAAGGGTGCCAAATAAGCATCTATATCACCCTATCTCCGGGCTTTGCATATTCCTGCCACAAAGGCAGACACTGCAGAGGCAGAGGCTGAGAATTTTTTATGATGAGAGAGATGGAACAGGACTTTCATCATCGTTCTCTGAGGAGGGAGGCGATAAAGAGGAGTCAAAAGAATGTGGAGATGAGGAACATTTACTTGATTTTGCCACATCATCTAAGAGTTCTCTCTCTTCTTCCTGTGCATCAGATTTAGTCTCAGACAGTGGGGCAGTCTGCAAAGGCTACAAGGCAAAAGCAGTCAGATTACATAAAGACCAGACAGGCACAGGGATTACATCCCCCTTTCTGTGAGCCTTTTTAAAGTCTCTTAATACATTATTCCAATCAGTCTGTTCAAAGGTTACCTGTGGTGGCAGCCAATAACAATGCTTCTTAATATATTTATAAAGCTGAGCAAAATCTCTTTTAGAAGTTCTCACTCCTGATGTTTTTAGGAGGGCACAGAGCAATTGTAAATAATCCTCCGGTTTAGCTGTTTTGGTTTCAGTTGTCCCTGACGTCTCGATCCTATTCCTACACGCGATTTCTCAGGAGTCTTACCAGATAGACAATCTTCGGAGCCTGTCTGCTCTGCTTTTCAAGGGTCGCCCGAGCAGAGCTTCCCCGCTCTGGGTTTCAAATGTCGCCGTTCTGAGTCTCAGTGGTCTTTGTTCTGAGATTCAACCGTCCCTGTTTGGGAGCCACTTGTTGGTCTCCTCCCTGCTTCCGACCCACAGACAAGAGAGGAGACACAATGAGATATTGGAGATCTGGAAGGTCCAGCCAGGGGACTCAAGGAGTAACAGCTCAAGAGCAATGCTGAAAAGGCACTCCTCATATTTATTGAGTAAATGAACTTACAATGAACTCAAACATCATTCTCCGGCCTTGAGTCTAGCCCAAGGATGCGACGCTTCTCAAGGAAACCAAAACTGAGTGAAGGCAGCTCCAAGCCATGAGAACTGCTTTGGTTCTCATCACTCAGCCCTTAATTATACATCAACAGAGTGTGTGGGAAAAACAATCAAGTCATGTGTGCTTATGCATTTGATTTCTGCCTTATGTGAATTATGTATTAACCCCATCAATCCCACACCCATCTCTTGATTTAGTTTAAAAATGAACATACATGAATTCTCAGAGATTATTTTATTAAGAAAGTTGTGAAAAGAATATGGGGGTTGAAGTCAGAACTCAGTTCCAATTCTGGCTGTGCCGTTTACCAGCTGTGTGGCTCTGGACATGTTAGTTGGCCTTTTTGAGCTTTATCTTTATATATAGGATATAAATGAGGATAATACCTCCTACCCTTCAAGGCTCCTGTAAAAATTAAGAGTTAATATATCTGAAACACCACAGTACATGTGGTAGGTATTGTTGTTGTTAAGGACAAAATAGAGTCATTTCATCACATTGGATACATGGAATATAATGTAGTTGCTTATTTACCCATCATATAGTCACCAAAAGCACTCTGATTTTTTTAAATCTAAGGTATATCACTGTTTTAGACCTGGATCTCTGTGTCATTTTTACCATATGCACTGTATACTTACCTGGATTGCTGCCTTCTTCCACATTACTGCACTGAGAAAAGAGTACCAGACAACCTATCCAAATGTTTATATGCAAGTGCTGTTCTTCATATCAAAGGTAACATATACTGGGGAATTTTCCAGTAATGATGACATTATACTAAACTAAAACCATTCTGTCAAACTTCTTACTCTAGCTAGGTGGATTATGGATATAGTCAGTAGCCCCAAGAGTAGATTTTCCTCCAACTAGCTAAGTATTAGTGAGGTCATTAATTGAACCTCATTAATTGAACTCAGTAACTAAGTGTAAATGAGTATTCTAAAAGTAAAGGATGATTGATAATCACAGGTAGCCTAGAAGATGATGTTAAAATCCTACATTTGCTTATTAGGATGCATAAAATGAGAAAATACATATTTTGTCCTGTACATAAAATAATTACTTTGAAGTTAAATTTAAATTTTTTAAAAAAGTAATGAATTACTTAGGAACCATAACAAGGAATCTTATTTAAAACATATAGACAGTAATATATCAGCATGTTAAGTCACCTTTAGGACTCCTAGATAAGATTCAGTGGGTTAGAATAAGAAGACAAAATGGGTTAGAATAAGAAGACAAACTCTTGTGTGTTGAAATGCTGATATAGAACTAATCCCCAGAGCTTTAGAAGACTGTTTCTATATGTGCCTACTTAGCTACAATCCAGTAGGTAGCTATCATCCAGTAACCATTTAGAATCACACCAGTAGCTCATAAAAGATGTCTGCTTTAAGTGGACCACCCTGTATTTAAGATTTGATTTCCTTCGTTGTGAATATCTTCATAGTTACTAGGAAAGTGGGTACATTATGGGTTTTCCTCCTTTGCTGTTTATTTTATTTTTTGTGTCTATAAGTTGTTGGCCAGTGCTTTTGTTCTCTCTGTTAGCCTAATGTTAAAATATTGTATCCCTTATCACTTTCTACTGCCCTTCCTCTTGGCAAATCCCCAACTTGTCCATTCAAGCAGTTTTGTACTCAGATGAAAAAGTCTGAGGTGTAGATGTCATCAGCTATTCCAAATGATCAAAGACACTGGTACAGTTCAGATTTTTCTGGTATCCCATTAAATACCAACCATAGCCCTTTACTGTGCTCAGCTTCTGTTTCTCTGAGCTGCAGTTTTTACTGAGTTTTTAGAACTTGCAGTTCTCTAACTAGGACTGACTTTTGACCTGTATTGTTATAGGCTACAGAGGCATTAACTCCTTTTCTGTGAAACTGCTCTCTTTTATACATTCCAAAAATTATTTAGAGATTCTGATTTGTTGTTGATATACTTGTCATTTTTCCCATGCTGTTAGAGAGTTTTATATATATAGTTACATCATTTCAGTGGGATTTGGAGAAGAGTAAATTCACTCACTTTACTTTCTGAAGGTGTTTAATAAATGTTAATTGAATGAGAGGAATCAGTAGTGCAGTTGATTTGAGCTAAATAGTAACAAGTATTTGTGAGAAACTTAGTCCATGTTCACTTACTGTCTTTTAAATATTTATAATGAGAAAGTATGATAATTTTCCTAAGATGACATCTTTTTCTAGGTAAGTCAGAAATGGTTTAAATTCCATAATCCCCATATGGCCTAACCATATGTGTAATCAGTTAGAGTGCAGGAGACATAATGAAGTGTCTAAGAGCAAGGTTCTGGAGCCTGGGTTCAGGTTCTTCCTATTCCACTTACTGGCAGTATGGTCTTGGCCAACATACTGGAGAAGTCTGTTAGAGGATGAAAGCATTCACTGTACAAAGTACTAAAGGGCTTGGCACATAGTACTATGTAGGCAGCTATCTTAAAATTCATCAAAAGTACTGTGTAGTTTAAGGTTGTAAATATAAATATTACCATCCTGGAATATACATTTTGGCCAAATTGGCCAGAGTTTTTACCTTACATAATGAATATTCCTGTAATAACATGGGAAGAGAACCGTGTGTGTTTTACATATTTCAAAAACTTTTAAATATTAGGAAGAAAGCAAGACCTGATGGAATACAAATTGAAACCAATGAGCCTGTGTACCAAATTGATAATGCAACTACCAAGGGAAAATAAGTAACTTCTGAACACAGTATTTTGTGCTCCCTTAATGGGGTATAGTCTGAGGACAAAAAGAACAGCAAATACTGAGCTTAGTAGGCAGCAAACTCCCTACAGTAGCTATTCATGTGAGATGTTATTCCCACTTTGCTGATGAGGAAACATATTCAGAGAGGAGAGTAATTTGCTTGGCATCTAAGTAGGTGGTGGAGCTGGATTCAAAACTTGTGCTCTGGTCTTGATAGCACACTGTTCTGTTGTTTTTTATAGTGTGCCACTCCAGTGAGTTCCTATGCTACCATCCTGATTCCTTTAGTACC